ATATGCCCCAAGATCTTGATGTGCCCTTAATTCTTGGAAGACCTTTTCTGGCCACTGCTCGGACCCTCATAGATGTTGGGGAAGGGAAATTGATTTTGAGAGTTGGGGAGGAGAGAGTCACTTTTTGCATGGCCAAACTGACAAAACAGTCATATCAAGTTGTAGATGAGTGTTATTCTTTAGACGTCATGGAACCACCCAGAAAGGAGGGAGGGAAACCCCCACCTCTCAAAGAGACCACTTTTGATCCATTCTTTGATAAAGGGTTCGATAAAGGCTTGGAACCACCCTTTTGTTGTAGTTGTGATCCCCCATTAAATATGTGGTTACATGAATTCCAAGTTTTGCGCCATCTAAGGACGTTTATTGACAAGAGGTTTGATATGTGGAAGACAACTTTTCTGAGCGGAAGTGTGTTTAATAGAGGATCCCGTGGGTTAGTTGCGTTGGGCAAATAACGTTAAAAATAGCGCTTCATGGGAGGCAACCCAAGTTTAATTCTGCAATTTTGTCTTTGTTTGTTTGTTTTCAAGAAAACCCCCGGAAAAAAATCCGGGGTGTTTTCGGTTTTTGTTTTTGTGTTTGTGTGTTTTGTTTTTACAGCTCAGGGTCTTGCTTTGGGGATGATGTGTCGAGGATCACTTGACTCAGTTTAGATCTGCACCGACCAGCGTCTTAGGGAAGTTTCTACAACTCTTATAATCGCCTATTCGTAATGTTGACTTGAGTTGAGATTGAGCACGCGTGACCCTTTCTTCTTTACCCCTCGTGCATAGTGCATTTTTGGTCATCGAGGACGATGTCAAAGTTTATGTGTGGGGGAGTGAATTGGGCATTCGGGCAGTAGATGTCACATGGGATTACTAGAGTTAGCATGCGCATGTGTTAGTTGTATATTCATAGGAAAGTCATGTCAAAATTTTTAATTTTTCTTCTTCTTTAAACCGTGTCTTTTTGAGCTGGCTAGTGAGTTGACTATGTTTTTAGGATATCCTTAATGTGTTTAGGCTTAAATTCATGCACGATGAGCTAGCTGTTGAGAGGATGAAGGCATTAGTCACCTGTTGAATTGATTTAAACATCTATCCTACCTGAATAAGTCCTTTAGGAGAAGCCATTTTGAGCCTGACTATTTTATTCTTTACCCAATTAATTGAGCTCCATAGCCAAAAGGCCCATGTTTCTGTACCCGTGAATAATTCTGACAAAGGTTTTGATGTTTAGGGAACTAGGGGATTAATTTGTTAAGTTTAGGGAATTTTGGTAGGACCCAATTTTTGGCACTGTTCTTATGCCCCAAGTGGGGTAAGAGCAGTCACTTTTTAGGAATTTGATAACTCCGAGAATTGCATTGTAGGCATGGATTCACTTTGAATAATTGAACTTTAATTGCTAATTTTCCTTGGCGAGGCCGAGATTAGAATGAGGTAATGTCTAGTGAAAAATCTGAAAATTGAAAGAATTAAATATTAGCTAGACCTCTTACCTTGCGAAAAAGAGAATGGGAGCCCCGGTCAAAAAGCGTAAGTGTTCTGCACAATAAGATGAGACTTGGGTATCTTTCAAAAGAAATGGCGTTCTCGTGCCAACATGACAAGGAAAACTAATCTTAATTAATTAAACTTGGAGGCTATTGCAAAATTAGCATTAGTCCTTCGCGTACTTCAAGTATACGTCAAAGCACTAATGTGCCGCGGCGGTTTAGCTTAGTTGTACATCATGTCTACCCTTTGCATAGGTTTAGATGATAGTTCCTAATTTGTGTCCCTCTCAATTCCTTAATCCTAAAAATGGCCCTGAAATTCCTGAACGCATTAAGTTTTTGTCGGATTATTCCAAAACTCTCAAAGAAAGGGACTTTTATTCTTTACCATCCACCATTCACCACCGCCTTCACAAGTCCTTCTGATCAGTAGCTAATTCATGAGTGTTTGCTGCCATTACTTCAAGAATGTTGTAAATAATTTTGTCATTTAAGTTAGCCAGAGTACAAAGATGTAGTTTAGGGAAGAATTTTCTTGATTTAGCCTTTCTGTTCTGTGAATATCCCTTTGACTACATGTGCATGCTAATTATTTTAAATTTCGTGTGGTGATTATCGTAAATCCCATTGTTTAGTTTGCTTGAGGACAAGCAAAGGCTTAAGTGTGGGGGAATCTGATAAGTTCTTATTTAGACACGCATTTGATGGGTGTTGGGATCGACTTGTGATGGGTTTCCTAGCTTTAAGATGTTACAAGTCTCAATTTTAGCTCAAGGTATGTTACCAGGCGTTGGTTCGAGTTTTATGTTGTTTGGAGTCAAAATCAGGAATTTAGAGTCTGGCACCGGCGCTTGAGGAGAAAACGGGATGATTTGGGAAGCATTCGAGAGTGAATTGAGAGCTTTGGAGGTCATAGAGAGGTTCACAATGAAGATGTGATGACAAAAGAGCTCTAGGATTGACTACGAGATTAAATGAAGACGAATAAAGCTTGAAAACGGCGTTCAGGATGACCTACTGTCAATCGTTCAACAATATCTCTTTGTAGAAGCATACAAAGGACACGACTTAAGTTGCATATGAAAGCCAACTTCAAGAGCTACAAATCATATGAATACACCATTGCGAGAATCGGAGAGAAAGAAGGTGAAAACAGACGATGAAGTCAGATGATCCCTGTTACGATTTCAGAATGAGACCTTCCACCATTTTATTCGTATATCTTGATTGGATGATGAAAATCCAATTTGACAAGTAGTGGTGGATAGAGGACTTCATTATCTACAACTTTCATGAAGGAAGTTTTGTCAAATTCGGACTAGAGAAACGGTGAAAAACAGACCACGCACGATTGTGCCTGAAGGGACGCACGATCGTGCGTGATAGAGAAATTCACGTGGAGCTACTGGAAGCCAGGCACGATCGTGCCTACTTCCGTGTTACGCGAAAAATTGTCCTAGTTCGGCCAGAATTCGGATCCCCCCCCCTTTTTCTATAAATAAGGCATCCATACCCCTTTTAGAGGTGACGAACATTACGGAGAGACCTAGGAACGAATTTACTTGCGTTTTTACGTTGTTTTCTTCAAGAACTCTGGGATTATTTGTAAGTTCATTCTTCCCAATTCTATTGATTATTCAATTATGAGTCGGGAGTAGTTTTAATTATGGATTTGGGATTGATAAAGGGGTTAATCACGATGTATGACTAGTTTCTTGATGGATTAATTGCATGAATGTCATTTAATTTGTGATTGAATAATTTAACCGATATCTTTTGTAACCTGGAACCGCGGCTAGAATTACAATTTCTTGTAGAATAAATTAAGAGAGATCTAGTTTATTGTGAGACACATTCACACACACTTAATCGTTCGCTAAGAGATTAGTAGTGATTAAGGGGCCGTAAGCTCGCTCGTCTTGGCAATAATTTAGGATCTTGTCGCATGAGAGATCAGCCTAGTCCCCTAAATTATTGTACTCTATACCGCGAGAGCGGTAAGAAGTTAGTAATGATTAGCTAGGCTCAATTAAATTAATTTCATGTGATTAAGCCTGATCAGCCAGAAATCTGGTTACCCCGGAATCAATGCCTGTTCCCTTCATCATTAATTAAAAAGAACGCAATCCATTATTTTTATTCGCTCAGTCGCATTAATTTATTTTCGAAACCACCCAATCTCGCACAATTGCATTTTATTTTATTTTATTTCATTTTAATCGCTGAATTTAGTTAATCTTTAATTCTCTTTTGTCCGTCCCGTTAGAGACGATACTCGTACTTTTACCACTATTCTACCATCAATTTAAGTGCGATAAAACTCACATCAATGTACACCCGGGTGTATGATATAGGAGATGTCCACGTACTAACCAAAAAATGGTCAAATAAGTCCTTATATAGGAGGTTCTGTCCGGCCATCGCCATTTGGGGTAGTTCCCGGTGGATTTTTTTGATGAAATATTTTGAGAATCTTATTAGTTAAGTCTAGTTTACTCATACCAAATTTTAGCTAACAATGCAATTGGTAAGGCATTTAAATAAATTCTTGAAGATAACTGCGCTTTTAACTGCGCAATTATCTTCAAGAATTAATTTGAATGCTTTCCCGATTGAAGTTTTAGCTGAAATTTGATATGAGTAAACTAGACTTAATGAATAATATGCTTAAAAATTTGCATCAAAAATTTCCATCGGAACCGCCCCAAATGATGATGGACGGACATAGCCTCCTATATAAGCAGTGGTGGAGCTAGGGGTGCCCAGGCTAGGCCTTGGCCCACCCCATATTTAAAAAATGCTAATATTTTTAGTGTAAAAGATCCATGTAATTTTTTTTCCAATAATATTCTTTGTACTGGCCCAATTTGGCCCAGTGCCTTGACTCTGCCCCTGTTAATATAAGGACTTATTTGACCTTTTTTTGTTAGTACACGGGCTTATTTGCCCCTTTATCCTTCTATTTATAACCCTGTTTTTACTAAATACAAATACACTTTTCCATAATCTCGAATATGCCCTTAAAACTTAACGGTGGTCGAGTTCGGTCGAATTATAAGGTTATTTCCGCACACTCCACCATCCACACACTCCACCCACTTGGCTGAACTTTCCAAAAAGAGGGAGAAAGAACATAAGAATCACATCTTCTCATCTCTCCTACAAGACAGCAAGTCGAATGGCACGAGACGAGACGGTCCGGCTGAAAGAGATCGCTAGCAATGTGTAGTCTTCGAATGAGAAAGAGAAGACCAGTTCTTGGATTTGGAAGCCCTCGAGAAGGAGACTCGGAAGCTCTTGAGATTTGCGCTAGGCTTCCCTAGCCGCTCACTTAAATGATCATTATTTTATTCTATTTTTTACTGGAAACTGCTTATATTAAGATTAAAACGGCCAAAAGTCCAACAACCAAACCTTCTACTACCCCTCTCTTAACCCCAAACAAATTATAACCCAAAGGCCTCTCCACTCTCTGATTAGACATAGAATAGTCAGCTCAATGATGAACATGATTAATCGTCGACCATGTGTCCATGCAAGAGATTCAAAGCTAGAATCGACTACAAAAGTCGTCTTGCTTTCTACCCATCTACCAACTACACACACAAACACAAAATTATCCATATCCTTTAGCGACACCACAAAACAAGAAACAATATATGGAACAAAGAGCATAAAATTGAAACGAAGTAAGATAAAAACTAAGAAATAGCAGGGAATTTTCAACCCTCTCTCACCCTAGTGAGCAATCAGGTAACTCTCCTTTCCATTTTTTCCTGGTCTTGCTCTACTTCCATATGCTTGTCCGTGTCCTCGTTTCCTTCTCCTTCTATGCGCCTGCGTTTTTGGTTCGTTTTGTCTCCTATGAGCTTTGGACCGTCCGTCGCCCAGTTCAGTCCACCTCCATTCTCCTCTGCGTCATAGTTGTCTGAATTCTTTGCGTCATGTTCCTTGCGTTGTCCTCCCCCAACTGGAACTAACCATTTATTACATTCACTCTGTATCCTTCCCTTTGTAGCTCTGAGCCAAGTTCCAATTAACCTCGCACTCCCCTCCAAGTTACTCCTCGACTTGCGGGGACAAAAACTCTCTGCATGCCCAATTGTTCCACACAAAAATTAGAAATTGGGCAATTTCTCATACTGAACTATGACACAGAAATTAGTATCATCATCCTTTTGCAAAAAAGTTCCTTTTCAAGGATTTTTCTATGTCCAAAGTGATACGGATGTGCATAAACGGGTTCCACTTTGTATTAAAATTATGTTCGTCCACCCTAACAAATTTACCAACAAAATTGCTTATTCTTTCAGCATTTTTAGAGTAAAATAGCATACTGGTATTCCATACACATGTAGTCAGAAATCCGTCTTCTTTAATAGAAGGGAAAGTTTCCGAAATAGGATTAAAACAGTTCGAAAATTCCAAAATAGGACTGTCATGTTTTTTATTCCCAAAATAGGAGTAATTACTGCCAAGTTTAGAAAATACTGCCATGTTTGAAGTCCAGTACTTCCAAAACATGACAGTAATTAGTCCTATTTTGGGAATAAAACTATGTTAGTCCTATTTTGAAATTTCCAAACCTTTTTAGTCCTATTTTGGGAATAGGACAATCACTGTATTCGTGTCACATTCAGGATAGAATTGAAACATAAAACGGCTAGTACTAAAATCTGATATTGTAATACCCTTAACGGGTTTCCAAACTGATGCCATAATATCACGAAAAATCAAGAAATGTATCGATTTCTCAGATGTGATTGTGCCTATCAGTGAGAAGGTTTCTCCAATAACACCCTAGTTCAATGATTCCACCAAAATTGTTTCACCCTAGTATCACTTTCTGATGGTGACTTTCCTCCCTTGTCTCCGTGCGCCTCATTTCATGAGAGTTCCTCCGCTAATCAGTGATGCCATTGGGGTCCATATCATCTAGTTTCAAGGGTTGCGTAGTGATACTCACGGACTAGAAGAAGTGATGCCATTGGGCTCCATATAATCGCCTAAGGTTGATGTTAGTTTCAAGGGTTGTGTAGTGATACTCACGGACTAGAAGAAGCCATGCGGACGAAGGCCTGGGCGATTGTTATTCTGCTACGAACGAAAACCTATAGACGAAACCTGCAGACGAAGAAAGAAATCGCCGCCACAAAACCTAGGTACTCGACCTACCCTTCTGCTCTTCACTTAAACAATCATTACGTAACAGTAAGGGTAGTTTAGATATTTAATTTATTTATCTGCACGCGTAGCTCATTTTGTAGGATGGTGAGAAATTTGAAACAAGTGACCAAGGTTCGAAACCCGCCGCGACCGTGTGGAGGTTACCACTCCTGCGTGCTGGGTTGGATCTCTGTTGTGCACGGGTATAAGACCTACCATCATTGGGGCGACTGAGTCACCGTATTAACATCCTCCCAAAAATCCTGTCGGGTCGGGGTATGGGGCTCTTGGGATGGAAGATTTCACCTTTTGGAACAAGATATTTAGTTTATTTTTAATTATTCCTGTTTAATTTAGTGGGTGTATTTAATAATGTTAAGAATTGAGAAGAGGCACTGATGAATGTTGTTGGCTTAGCCCAGTAAAAGGACAACTGATCCAAGCCCAAGAAGCCCCTGAAGTACTCAGCCACCGTGCGGTGGTTCATCCATCCTTACACGGGCGGCCATGGGTTGCTCAGCTCTCCCCATTGTCTCATGAGATTCAAACCCATCTCAGCTCTTTCTCTCTTCAAAAAATCGAACCTTTACGCCCCTTTCCTAAAAAACCATTTCATGGCCACTGACGCTCTGCCTGCCTCTTCCGTAGACCTTCAAAACAATGAAGACGACCTTCTCTGCGCAGAGAGTGCGGTACACACGGTTCCCATATCGGAGGAAGAAAAGTTTCGGTCTATTGATTTTGGTCGTCCGAATGGGTATTTGAGCGGCGAGGCGAGGATTGAGAGGGCTTGGGCTCACTGGAACAAGTTAGGGCAGCCCAAATGTATAGTTGCCCCAATGGTAGACAACTCGGAGCTTCCTTTTCGTATGCTCTGCCGCAAGTATGGCGCTGAAGCTGCTTATACGCCTATGCTCCACTCCCGAATTTTCACTGAAAACGAAAAATACCGATCTGTGGAATTCACTACTTGCAAGGTACTCTTAGCTGAAAGGCATTAATACATAAATGCAAATTTTTAGGGTTTCGGAATTTACTCTGGTTCATGTTTATGCTTTTTTATTTTGTTGAATTTCTGTCATTGTATGCTACTGGATTTTTATTACTTATAGAAAATACTTTCTGACTTTCGGTGTTTGGCACAGGGAGTACACTTTGCTAGACGAAATTTCTTTAAATTATTTCCTTTGGTTCTTTGGCATTTTGTAGAAAATGTAGAAAGTAGGAGGTGTGTTTTCAAATAGTGTCATGGTTTTCATTTATGGTGATAGAATACTTTGTTGTACATAGAAAAATTTATTTTTCAGTATATCGCCATAAAGCATCTTGTAAGAAAATGTCTTCTTTGGACATTTATTTCTCATAAAAAAAATTCAAAACTATTCATTTTCATGGAAACAAAGAGAAGCTAATGAATACATTTTTTATCTTGTATGATAGGTTGGTTTGAATCATGAAGTTACCATTCTGTTTATTTTCTGTTCATCATTGTTCGCAACCGGATTTACATTGCTTTGATTTACTTATGAAATTTGGTTTCTGAGGTAGTCCGATGATTCTGATTATGCTGTTGGGCTCACTATGATGAACTTGCAGGAAGACAGACCACTGTTTGTTCAATTCTGTGCAAATGACCCTGACATTTTGCTGGAAGCAGCTCGAAGAGTTGAACCCTATTGCGATTATGTGGACATCAACTTTGGGTAGCATCCTATTTCTTACTTACAACATTCTTAAGTAAATAATCATGTGACTATGAGGTCCATAAGCATCTCCAGTAAACTGATTTCAGATGGGGTTATCCTATACTTTTCACCTAAAAACTACTCTATCCATCCCAATTTAATTGAGGTTTTAGAAAAAAGCACTTATATTGAGAAACATTACAAAACCCCTTTTCTTTCCTATAATAGCACAGCATGATTGAATAAAAGTATGAAAGACATCTTTTTCGTTTTAAGACACAAGAGTATTTAATTTGGGAAAAGACAAGTAGCACAGATTCAGGAGGTTAGTACAAAATACATATTGAATTGCAAAGACGACAATTATTTTGGGTCAAAAGATACTCCCTAAACTACAACAATTTTGAACCATATTGTATTTGATTTATCTATATGGCTGTTCTGTTTACTCTCGAGATATGTGTGGCTTTATTAATATCTTCAGTAAATCAGTTATGGGAAATGTGTTTTGGTTACACCACAGATGGGTGCTCAATGGTTCATGATCACAACTATTCATGCCAATATATCACCCAACTTTTTAAACCCATGATGTTTTATATAATCCCTATTCATTGTATAGTAAGTGAAAAATCTTTATTTATATCCCCTATTGACTGCTTGTGCACTTACTCTGCAGGTGCCCCCAACGTATCGCAAAGAGAGGAAATTACGGAGCTTTTCTTATGGATAATCTTTCCCTCATAAGGTCCCTGGTAGAAAATTTGTCAAACAATCTTACTGTTCCCGTTTCATGTAAAATCCGTATCTTCCCAGATTTGCAAGACACGATCAATTACGCCAAGATGTTGGAGGATGCGGGCTGCGCTCTTTTGGCAGTGCATGGACGAACAAGGGATGAAAAGGATGGGAAGAAAATCCGGGCCCACTGGGATATCGTCAAGGCGGTTAAAAAATCGGTTAGAATCCCCGTGCTTGCTAATGGGAATATTCGGCACATGGATGATGTGGAAAGATGCTTGGAAGAGACCGGTGCAGAAGGTGTACTCTCAGCAGAGTCACTTCTTGAGAACCCTGCCTTATTTGCTGGATATAGGACACCTGAGTGGACAGAGGAAAGTGATGGAGGAGTCAAGGAAGATAATAGGGTTGACCAGGCTGAGTTAGTGGATGAGTATTTGAAGTTTTGTGAGAAATACCCAGTGCCATGGAGAATGGTTCGTTCCCATGTGCACAAAATGTTGGGAGAATGGTTCAGGGTCCAGCCTGACATTAGAGAGGATCTTAATAAACAATCCATACTTACGTTTGCATTTATGTATGACTTGGTAAATCGGCTAAGGGAACGTGGTGTACGCATACCATTATATGTGAAGGACAACCTTCAAAGCGGAGGAATTCCTGAAAAGTGAACAGTTTGTTGAATCTGTGTTTGTTCTGAGTTCCAAGAACATAACTTGGTAACATTGTTCTCAGACATTGTTCTTTTTGGTCTTGCATGAACATGATGACATCCATGCGTAGTGAACTTTTCAAGATACCAGGTGGAGAACGGAAAATTTGAATGCTTTTGACTTTTTAAGGTGTGCAAGGTTCAAACTCAACCTTACACTTGTTGCAAGGATGTAGAGCTGTATTAGTTATAGTGAAATTAATTCACATTGAAATAGTGCAAGGGGTTGTTTGATTCGATTCATTGTACTCCGTATTTTTTTTAAGATTTTCTCATTTGTCTTTTTTTTTTTTAAATATCAAAAGGTTAGATTAAAATAGTCTGTTGGTCTTTTAATTTTGTCGAATATGGCCATTGTCACTATTCTAAAAATCATTTTAGGTGGCTGACTAGTCTCCGCCTAGCTCCTAGGCGGCTGCCGGACACCTAATGACCACCTATGACGTTTAAATTCATTAAAGTAGGGGTGGACTCGGGTCCGGGCCGGGTCGGGCCTAGGCCCGGGCGGGCTGGCGGTTCAAGAATGGTGGACCCGGGACCGGCCCTGGTAGCCACCGGGTCCGGGCCGGGCCGGGCCTCCGGTTTGGATTTTTTTTTTTTTGCTTTCCTAACCCCCCCCCCCCCCCCCCTCACCCCCCACCCTCCCAAACCCCCCCAAACCCCCCATCCTACCCATCAAGCCCAACCCGGGTGGAACCCCAAAAATGAAAAATAAAATAAAATAAAATTCAATTTGGCCCGGGGCCGGTTCATCAAAATTGAGACCCGAGTCCGGACCCGCCCTACCCCCCGGACCTAGGCCCGACCCGGACCCGAGAACCGGGCCGGTCCTGGTCCCGCACAGTAGCGGGCCGGGCCGGTCCACGGGCCGGGTGGCCCGACCCGAGTCCAAGCCTACATTAAAGTAGGACGATTCACTGAAGATTTACTCACTGAACATTTACTTGCGATTTATTTAATTTTTCTAAGAGATATATGTAAGTATGTAACTTTTAACTTTAACCAAAGATATATACAAATTAAAATAAAACTATATATGTTTTATATATTCTGAAGTTTTGTTGATATGGAGTTTGATTTAATATATATTAAATAATGAAAGTAAGTGATTAGTTATCGTATAATAGTGTTGAATCTAGTAGTCATGCATGTCTGTATATTTGTGAAAATATATACTACTATTTCCATCTACTAATATTGAGACATGAGGGAGTGACACAATTATTAGGAAAAATGTGTTGATATGGTTGATATTAAATTGATAAAGTAAGAATAAAGTAAAAATGATTTAGAGCTACACCAACTTTATCAAAATTAGTATGAAACAATTTTAGCGAGATAGAGGGAGTATGATTTTACTCGAGCAGGTGTTGAAATTGTTTTAATATACTTTGTAAGATACTATGTATATATTTTATTCAAAATATAAATAATTCATCATTTTAGTTCAAATAACAACTATTATAATTAAAAGCAACTTATAATTGTAGAATAAAAAAATATACCGCGCATATGAATAAATATATACAAATATGAAATAAGATTAGTTAAGTTACTTTGTCAAGAAAAGTTATACAGAATATAATAAAATTGAACTAATGATTGTTGCATATTATTGGTCGGCCATGCATGGGCTTGCCATATAATATTAGTATACAAATTGAAAAGAAAATGAAATATACTAAACATTCCAAAATATACGTATTTTCTTGAAACAAAATATGCAAAGTATTTCAAAATACCGAATGAAAGGTTTCAAATCATGTGTGATTTTCTAGAACTAATTCAATAAAGCATTCAAAATTATGGAATGAAATCTAATATTATAAACTATTTCAAAAATATGTACTCTCTAAATAGAATGACTATTTTTTGTAGAATATTTAGAAATTGATGCTCTATAATACATGTAAACACCTATGTTGTAAGACCTGAACCGGACCGGCCGGTTCGACCCGGAACCCAGTCACCCGCCCACCTGTCCGGTCCGGTTGAGCATCTAACCGGAAATATGGCAAAAACCAGAATTAACCGGTGTCCCGTTTAAACCCAGGACTGACCCGAACCGTCCCAAATCCGGAAATAAGAAAAATCGGAGAAAACGTCACCTGTGGGATTCAAACATGCGCCATCAGCTTTGAAGGAAGAACCATTGACCAACGGGGTACACTCGGTTGCTGTTAGGGATGGACTCGGGTCCGGGCCGGGTCCGGGTCGGGCCTAGGCCCGGGTCCGGGCCGGGTCCGGGTCGGGCCTAGGCCCGGGCGGGCCGGCGGGTCAGAAATGGTGGACCCGGGATCGGACCGGGTAACCACCGGGTTCGGGCCGGGTCCGGGCCGGGCCCATTATATTTTTTTTTCCTCTTCCTAATTAACCCCCCTCCCACCCCCAAACCACCCCAAATGGCCCAAAATACTCAGCCCAACCCGAAAATTTAAAAAAATTGAAAAAAAAATTAGTTTTTGGCCCGAACCGGACCCGGGCCCGACCGGGTCGGGCCTTGTTTTGGGTGACTCGAGCCCGGACCGGAAACCCACGGGCCGGGCCTACCCGGACCGGTCACTGACCGGGCCACCGGGTCGGGCCGGGCCGGAACAGTACCGGTCCCGGGCCGGTTCCGGGTCGGACCACCCGGCCCGAGTCCATCCCTAGTTGCTGTGAATTTAGGTTGTTTAGGACTTTAGGTTTCTTTATAGCTTATTATCCTTGAATATTTTTATTAAGTTTTAAAAATTAGCTTAGTAATTAAATAATTTATAATAAAAATACTAATAAATACACATAAATGTTGTTATTATACTTCCCAGATATGTATATAACCTTACAATTTTTTTATATATTTTGTAATTGGTATTATGTTCATATTTATTATCCATCTAAATTTCAATGTATTTTAAACTTTTTTAAAACTAATCTACTTAAATACAATAGTTTTTTATATTGCTTATACTGTATTATCATTATTAAATTATGATGGAATATAATTTTTCTGTTTAAGAATTTAATCTCTTATATAATTAATTAATTATTTGTATTGTTGATTTGTTGTTGACCAGGTTTAGGACTAATTGCAATTAGTGACTATTCATTATTGGACTCAATAGCAATTAATTGATAATTCAATTTCAATTAGAAAGTTGTACTTTATTATTAAATAGATATAGAAACGACACTCATGAGTCACATGTACCATTAGGCATGGGCCGGTTTCGGGCCGAGACATGCTTTGGGCCAGTCTAAACAGGGCTAGAATCGGCCCGAGATTCTACCGGGCCTAGGCCGGATCAGGTAACTATTTTTTTTTGATTTCCTAATTACTTCCTCCCCACACCCCAAACCCCTCCTAAACACCCAGCCCAACCCATTTACCTCCCAAAGAATTTGAAAAACAAAAAAAAACATTGGCCCGAACCGGACCTGAACCAGTACCAAAGAACCACTGACCCGTGACCCGGCCAAAAACGCCCCCAATTCGGGCACTAGGCCCGGGTCCGGTTCCCAGGCTGTGTATAAATATTGATGAAAATATTATTTATACATCTCCAATTAGTTCCTAATTACATCTTTTAGTTTAGAACATTGTCCAAAGTATATTATTGCATTGAAGTTTGTTTATATTTACTATATGCAGAGCATATTACTATATTAGTATAATTGTAATTATTTTTCAACTTTTTGTAAGAATGTATATACCTTTACCATAATTCATAGTGAAAAATCAGATAACCTCACGCTTTGAAGGAATGGACGATAGCACTATGATAGGTATTTCATTCAAAAGATTTATCGAGCCAAATGAAAAAAAAAAACAGTAAATGTATCAATATGTTCATACTAGGGTTGGATTCGGTTCGGGCCACCCGGCCCGTGACCCGGCCCGGCCCGGTACTGTGCGGGCCCGGGACCGGCCCGGTCGGGCGGTCCGGGACCGGGTCTGGGCCCGAACCGGGGGGAAGGGGCGGGGCGGGCTCGGTTCAGCATTTGTGTGACCCGGCCCGGCCGGGTCGGGCCCGGGTCCAATTCAATTTAAATTTTTTTTTTTTAATTTGGGCTCCTACTAGCCGTTGGGGGTGGGGCTGGGGACAACCCAAACGGCTATATAGCCATTGGGTGGGGTAAAGGGGGGTCCGGGGGGGGTTGGGTGGTGGGGGGTGGGGTGGGGGGGGGGGTAAAAAAACCTATAAATACTCCTAATCTTAAACATTTTTTCATATCTCTTCTCCAATTCTTCCTAAATCCTATTCTTAACTCTCTACTCTCTAATTCTCTTATTCTCCAATATATTATATTTATTATTTATAGTTTATATTAATTATCTACTTATATAAACTATAAATAGATATAAATAGTATTATATTACTTATATTTGTTATCTAATTATATATTACTTATATATTTATTATATCTATTAATATAGTTGGAATTATATCTAATTAATTTGAAGTCATTCTATTACTCCCATCCGAAAGACCGAAAGTCCGAAAGAGGTACGAAATTATTCTATTATTTACACTTGTTTAATTAGTTTAAAAAATATGTTGTACACAAAACTAGTTAATTCACTACTTAATTTGCTATAACTCGAATTAATAGTTAGATAAATAGTTAATTAGTTTTTTACAATTTTTTATTAATTGCTACATTTGACTCTAGTTTAAAAATAATGTTGTACACAAAACTAGTTAATTCACTACTTAATTTGCTATAACTCGAATTAATAGTTAGATAAATAGTTAATTAGTTTTTTACAATTTTTTATTAATTGCTACATTTGACTCTAGTTTAAAAAATATGTTGTACACAAAACTAGTTAATTCACTACTTAATTTGCTATAACTCGAATTAATAGTTAGATAAATAGTTAATTAGTTTTTACAATTTTTTATTAATTGCTACATTTGACTCTAGTTTAAAAACAATGTTGTACACAAAACTAGTTAATTCACTACTTAATTTGCTATAACTCGAATTAATAGTTAGATAAATAGTTAATTAGTTTATTACAATTTTTTATTAATTGCTACATTTGACTCTAGTTTAAAAAATATGTTGTACACAAAACTAGTTAATTCACTACTTAATTTGCTTTAACTCGAATTAATAGTTAGATAAATAGTTAATTAGTTTTTTACAATTTTTTATTAATTGCTACATTTGACTCTAGTTTAAAAATAATGTTTTACACAAAACTAGTTAATTCACTACTTAATTTGCTATAACTCGAATTAATAGTTAGATAAATAGTTAATTAGTTTTTTACAATTTTTTATTAATTGCTACATTTGACTCTAGTTTAAAAAATATGTTGTACACAAAACTAGCTAATTCACTACTTAATTTGCTATAACTCGAATTAATAGTTAGATAAATAGTTAATTAGTTTTTTACAATTTTTTATTAATTGCTACATTTGACTCTAGTTTAAAAATAATGTTGTACACAAAACTAGTTAATTCACTACTTAATTTGCTATAACTCGAATTAATAGTTAGATAAATAGTTAATTAGTTTATTACAATTTTTTATTAATTGCTACATTTGACTCTAGTTTAAAAAATATGTTGTACACAAAACTAGTTAATTCACTACTTAATTTGCTATAACTCGAATTAATAGTTAGATAAATAGTTAATTAGTTTTTTACAATTTTTTATTAATTGCTACATTTGACTCTAGTTTAAAAATAATGTTGTACACAAAACTAGTTAATTCACTACTTAATTTGCTATAACTCGAAAAAATAGTTAGATAAATAGTTAATTAGTTTTTTACAATTTTTTATTAATTGCTACATTTTTTAGATGGATCGTCCTAGATATTCGGTTGATATGGGTAACCTCGAGCGCAACCGAACGAACGAGCTTGCGAGGAAGAGATCCCGCAAAGGTAAATCACATCTCGGCTCTTCATCTCAAAGTCAAGATGATTTTGATACGGGTTACGTAAGGAGGGATGGGGATGCGATGACCGACGAACAACTAGAACAAGAATTGCACCGACATAATTCCCGCTTTTTTCAAGACCAACCGAGGACCATTGACGAAGAAGAGCTCGAGGACGAGGACGACGATGTGGAGGAAGCAATTCCGGAGAGCCACGACGAGGAGGAGGAGGAGGGTGGCGGCAGCCATGACGCCGACCAAGCAGCCTCATCCCAAACAGGTACAAAAAAAAGTAAATCTGAATTAATGGCTAATAATTTTTCTAAGTGGAAGGACCCGAACACCGGGAATTGGACCGCAACTTGCAATTGGTGCAAGAAAAACTATAGCTTGGGGATTTCCGGCGGATACGGATCCGCCACAAGACACCTTAAGTCCAAACACCCGGTGGAGTATGCAAAATTAGGCGGCGGAACGGGGAAGCAAACGCAAATATCGAGGTTTGCAAATAATCAACAAGCTTTTGGTAATTTCTCATACAATGATGCACAAAATTTGACAGGTATGGCTAACTTACTTGTTGAAGAAAATTTGCCTCATTTGTTTTCTGAAAGTCTTGCTTTTCGTGATTATGCACAAACTTGTTTAAATCCACAATATAGAGGTTATAGTCGCAAAACGGTTAAGAAAGAAATTTCAAGGCTTTATGGTGCGGAAAAGGTAAGGTTACAAAATATTTTGCAAACTTTGATGGACGTGTTACTATATGTTCTGACATATGGGAGGATACTTATCATAATTTACATTATTTGGGTCTGACTGTACATTATATTGATAATGATTGGGATATGCATAAACGTGTTCTTGCTTTCCGTGAATTTAATGATCATCACACCGCTGAACATATTTATATTTTGATTGAACGTATTTTAATTGAGTATAATTTAATTGATAAGGTGTTTGCTATTGGTTTTGATAATGCTACTAATAATACTGTTGCTATTCCTAGATTGCGTGAATTGTGTGGTTCTACTTCTTTGATGGGTAGATTTTTTCATCAACGATGTGCATGTCATGTTCTAAATTTATGTGTGCAAGATGGTCTAAAAGCGTTGGAAGCATCGTTGGAGGTAGTCAAGGGGGGGGGGGGGGGGGGGGGGGGGATTAGACGTATTTGGGGTAATGGACAACTTAGGAAAAAATGTCATGATTATTTGATAGAAAGAGGTGAGAGATATGTGGCTTTTCCAAAAGATTTGTCTATTCATTGGAATAGTACCTATAAGTTAATTGGAGTTCTTCTTAGATATAAACAACATTTTCCTGCTTTTATGAAACAATATGATAACTATATTATAAACTCGGCTGAGATCGACACCTGTGAAAAAATTTGTAATGCTTTGATATATTTTAATAATGCAACTGAAACTTTTAGTCATGTTTATAAACCTACCTCAAACCAATTTATTCGTGAAGCTGTTAATCTCGCCGGTGCTTTTTCAAATTTTGAGAATGCTGATTATGTGAATTATTTTGCTGGTTTTATGAAGGAAAAGTTTTTAAAATATTATTCACATATTCCGCATATTTATGGTATTGCATTTGTTCTCGATCCTCGTTTTAGACTTGGTTCTTTAGAAGAATGTTTGAATTATTATTATGCTGTTTTTTTTGGTCCATTGCCAATGTATGAGGACAACCCAATTGATCCGAAAAAAGAATACAACGAGGTTAGTGATATATTTAATGCATTATTCAATGAGTTTCATGCACAATATGGCAATGCGTCCCCTCCCCCGACACAAACATCATCTAAAGGAAAATCAATTTTCAAATCTACGTTTGCCAATCTTATTAAAAAAACAAAATCAACTCCCGCTACACAACAAAGCACAATTAATGAGATTTCTTTGTATTTAACTTATGATGTTGATTTTGAAGAAGATGATGATTTTGACGTACTAAACTGGTGGAAGGGAAAAGAAATAATGTTCCCGATTTTAGCAAAGATGGCTAAGCAAGTGCTATCAATGCCGGTTTCAACGGTTGCCGTGGAACAAGAATTTAGTTCGGCCGGCAATGTTCTAACACAAACCAGAACGAGGTTGAGCGCTGAATCTCTTGAGATGCTTATATGCTACCACGATTGGTTGAAAGCAGCACGTAGAGCTCAAGAAATTGACATCACTCTATCCCAACACTTTATGGATGAATCTACAGAGGGTGGCTCTACTTATGCCGGAGATTACGATTAAAAACAATTATAGTTCCTATTTAATTTTCAAATGTAGTTCCTATTTCATTTCAAATAAATGCACTTGAACTCTTGAAGTTTGTTTTTTAATACTTGTATAAAACTAAATAGTATAAAATATAAATTAAAAAAAAATTACCCGGCCCGGCCCGGCCCGGCGGGTGGCCCGACCCGTGACCCGGGCGGGTGGCCCGGCCCGAACCGGACCCGTCCAACCCTCGGACCCGCCCCGGGCCCACTATTCTAGAACCGGCGGCCCGACCGGGCCTAGGCCTGACCCGGCCCGAATCCACCCCTAGTTCATACAAAGCATGTTGGTTTGATTAATGATGGATATTTCAGCTCATAAAGTCGTCACGTCAACGGCTTGAGTGCATTGAAGTGCTCCAAACTTTTTAAATAGATGCAGCCATGCAGGCAGGTAGTAGGGAACCTAAGGGAGATGGGGGAGGGAAAGTTGAACCGAAGTTATTGAAGAAATTATCAAGTTCAGGCTGTTCGGTACAAGTATTTAGGAACGATAACACAAGATGATGCCATTTAACAACCACCACATATAATGTCAAGAAAAAAAAACATCTTCAAGAGATATACATGACCACCACCAAATGGAACAGACCAGGTTTGGCAGCTCAAGAGTTTGAATTGACCTATCTCAAAACAACGAAGTCTGATTTATGGTCATTGAAATACAGACCTTTGCTGTTGGAAGCATAAATAGCATTCTCTCAAGGGAAAACCTCTACTCCACTTCTTGAAGATAGTCCTCAATTTCAGCTGGCGTAAGAACTCTGCAAGGAAGCCAACATGTACTCACGCATTAAAGGAAAGGTCATGTACATGCTAACGCTCTTATATCCACTTTCAGTGAAGCTAAGAAACTTGCCTGAACACTTTGTCAGCGCCAATTATTCCAATCTCAATGTTTTTACCAGAAATTTGTCCTTCAAACCTAAGAACCCATGCAAAACAAGGCCACTGTTATTTTATTTATTTTTTGAAAGAAAAAACAAACATTAAGCGAAATCCCGGATTTAGACTAATGTTAGCCTGATAGGTACACAACTTTACTGTGCACAACTGCACACTTGATTACTGAAGCCTTGTCCATAAAAAATTGGACAGTACATTTGAACGGTTAAATGTCTGGAAACATTATTAACTCTTAAGCATGAAGGAAAAAATCACTGTGTTGATATTTACCCCTCCTTAAGTGTCAGAATAGCAGTGTGTACAGCATCGTCAAGTTCCATATCTTCTGTATACCTAGCACATGAAAAAACAATCACGAGGACAACAGTTATGTAAAGAAATGAAAACTCGTAAACATCCTTGCAGGTAAGGTCCATATTGCTTGTCTAGCGTTGAGTTATATAAAAAGGCCAAGGCTTTTGATGAAGACTTGCTAATTCACTAGTACATTTTTTATGGATAGCTGATGTTGACAAATTACCAACTGCAAGGCACATTTTTAATGCGCTTATTTCAGTGGTATTTTACATGATGCACGGCATCTCTTGCCTTGTGTCAGTGTGTCACAAACCCAAAATGCAACATTATTAGTTCAAAAAAAGAGAGCTATGATTCAACGTATTTTTCATCTCAAATAAAGAGTCCAACTTCAGAAGTCAAGTTTATTTTTGAAATTAAATTCCTCTAAAGACATGTGGCAGGCGGTTTTAGCAATTACTCCAGACAATCTTGGAAGTAACACGTCTATGGTATTCGTGACCATTCCTAACTTGTAAAAGCTTGCACTTTCATTGAGCTGACTAAAAAATGTTACCTTATTCAAGCTGCACTTTTTGGGATGGAGAGAAAGTATTATAATAATATGTGATAGAGTATATCTAGAGAGAAGTGAGAGCTAGAGAGAGAAGTGCAATAATATGCTTCAATAGAATGATTTTGTCACCCCTATAACTACTCCCAAAGGGAGTATTTATAGAGAAAATACGGGTTGGGCTCCCAAGCCTTGGGCTTGGAAGGCCCATTTACAACTGGACCGCTACTGGGCCGAATACAAAGCCACTAATGGGCTGTACGAATGAGTAAGTATAAAATCCGATTCTGTGAGGTCTCCGTGGCCGACGAGGGCACGGCCGACGAGGGCACCCGGGTTCCTTGGGCTCAGGACCATAATCTGAGTTGGCTCCTTCTTCGGCCGACGGGGGCGTCTTGGCCGACGAGGGCGCCACTCTGTGTCTTGTGCTTTCTGTTCTTCCGAGTATGTGGGTCCGGGGGCTCAGACCCATATACTCCATCAGGAGTCCCCCACTCTCTAAGCTTAGACGTAGACGAAGTGAAGGAGAGTAGATTCCCGTGCTTTAGTGCTTTTGGCCGATGCGGGCATCCTCGGGCCGTTAGCCGTTGCGGCGTTGGCGTTGTTTCCTCTTTGGTGATCCTATTCTGTGCTTTGGCCGTTACCTGTCCCTCGCTGTGGGCGGGGAGGCCGTTGTTTCCTTAATGTGTTCATTTGAGGATGGTGTCTTGTTTCGATGGTGGCCGTTGAAGGCACGCTTTCCTTTTCATGGGCGTTGATGGTTGAAGTTTATGTTTGGGCCGGTGAGGTTGTTCCTTGCTTTGAGGACGATAGCGTTCTTTCCTTTGGGTGGCCGAAGAGGGTGCTCGCGCACTCCTTTTGGCCGTTGTTGATGATGTTATGTGCCTCTGGCCGACGAGGCGCCATTGTGATGCGTGGACGTTGTGGCCATGCTTTGTGGTTACGTGTTGTTTGTATTGTTCTTCTGATTTGTTGAGGCCGATGTAGTCCCCCAGTCCCCCACTGCTTCAGGCCGAAGAGTGTGAGGGGTGAAGGAGTTGCTTGAGTCCCTGGCCGAAGCGGCCTCTCCGTAGTCCCCCTGAATCCAACCCTCATGGCGATTTTCTGGCCAAGGTAACCCCGTGGGAGAACCCTTGTGCGCAGATCGCTTGTAGAGAGTTATCATCAAGGGTCATGACGAGGAGCCGATGGCTTGTGCCGAATAGCTCGATCTTGGACGCTCAGGTGGAGGCTTTCCTGGAAGGGGGGCCGAGGAGCGTGAAGGATTACGTTACTGAATACAAGATGACCGCTCTCGGCTTCTTTAGATACCATTTGTATGGCGATAAGGAGGATGACCTCCAACTCTGGCCGAGGATGACCACCACCTTTGAAGAGGCCGCGGTGAGCTTCCCGTTTCAAGACGTGGGCCGTTTGCGGGCCCCTCGTCCTGGGGACATCGTCGGCCATACCTGAGCGTTTCACTTCTAGGCTTACGGGGCCAGGACGATGTGCTCTCTCAGCTAGGCCTGAGCCCTTCGCTGATGCAAAATACAATGGAGTGCCGGAGCTTGTCGCTCGTAGGCTGCAAATGCAAGGGGCCATGTCGGCCATGCCTGAGCCTTTCGCTCTAAGGTGGTCGACGGGGGCACCTACTAATGTTTTACTTTAAATTCCAAAGAAAAAATCAGAACATGATTTTATTCATAAGTGGCTCGAGGCCGAGGGTGGCGTTCAATCAGTAACCCGTTAAGGGGTGAGGGCTTCGCCGTCTGCACCTCCTTCGGATTACTGATAAAACTTCACCAGATGGTGTACATTCCATGTTCGTGGTACATTGGACCCATTCGGGCGTTTAAGCTTGTAGGTGCCGGGTTTGACCACGGCACTGACGATGTAGGGCCCTTCGTACTTCAAAGCTAGCTTGCCACCCTCTGTCGGCTGGCTTGCTTCCCTTCGGCGGAGGACGTAGTCCCCCACTTGAAATTCCCGGGAACGTACCTTGGCGTCATAGTATGATTTTACTTGACGCCGGTAGTTCTCTGCTCGGACGTAAGCTTGCTCACGCCTCTCATCAACCAGGTGTAGGTCAATCTTCATGTTCTCTTCGTTGGTGTCAGGCTCATATTGTTCCACCCGCCGGCTGGGGATGGTAACTTCCGTGGGTGCCTTTGCTTCAAAGCCGTAGCACAGGGCGAAAGGCGTTTCGCCTGTCGCCCTCCTCGGCGTGGTTCTGTAGCACCACAGGATGTTGGGGAGCTCGTCGACCCAACTACCTCTGTAATACCCGAGATTAATTTAAGAGGATCAATAGTACTACTCATACCAACAGAGGTGCATCTCCTTTTAAGGGAGCTCATCACCCAAGAACTCCAAAGTTAAGCGTGCTTGCACGAGAGTAGTCTTGGGATGGGTGACCCCCTGGGAAGTTTCTCAGGGCGCGCATGAGTGAGGACAAAGTGCGCGGTAAAGGCTCGTGGTGGTTTGTGAGGACAGTACTATTGGTCTAGAGTAGCTACCTCGGGTCCTGCGAGGCCGGGGTGTTACAACCTCTTGCGGCCTGGAGTTTCTTCTTCAGCCCTTCCATGATTGTTCTGTTGGCGTTCTCGACCTGCCCGTTGCCCTGAGGATAGGCAACGGAGGAGAAACGATGCCTCACCCCAAACTCCCGGAGGAGCTCCTGGAAAGGGGCTGCCTCGAATTGGGTGCCGTTGTCTGATATAATCTCCTGGGGGACGCCAAAGCGTGTGATGATGTTCTTGTAAACAAATTTTTGGCATCTGGCCCTCGTGATGCTGGCCAAGGGCTCCGCCTCGACCCACTTGGTGAAGTAGTCGACGGCGACGATGATGTAGCGGTTATTCCCGGCGGCTCTGGGCAGGGGGGCCGACCAGGTCAATCCCCCATCTGGAGAATGGAATTGCGGTGCTGACGGGGGCGTAGTTGACAGCTGGCCGACCAGGGGCCTTCTGGAGTACCTGACATGTGGTGCACTTCCTGGCCAGGTCAGCGCAGTCGCGTGCCATCGTCGGCCAGAAGAAGCCCTGGACGATGAGACGCCGGGACATGCTGAAAGGGCCCTGGTGTGAGGAGCAGACGCCACAATGAACTTCTTCCATGGCTGTGTCGGCCTCGTCCTGGTGCAGGCATCGGAGGAGAGTGCCATTAAAGGACCGTTTGTAGAGTTTGCCATCTTCGATGGTGTAGCTTGGGGCCATGAGTTTGGCAAGTTTGGCCCTCTCCTCGTCCGGGGGCAGCTCCCCCGTTGTGATGAAGGTGGCGATGTCGGAGATCCAGTCCTCTGGTCGCTGTTGGACGCACAAGACGGGGCTGGCATGGATGCTGGACATGCTCAACTCCTCGATCTTGGCCAACTGGGAGATGTGCTCCGGGGTGTCCGAGCTGAGCTTGGAGAGGATGTCGGCTTCGGCGTTCTCGGCCCTGGGGATCTGAGTGATCTCGTGGGTTTCAAACGCTTTCAGCAACTCCTCCGCCGCTTGTTTGTACTGCTTCATTCGGCCTTCCTTTGCTTCGTACGATCCCTCCACCTGGCCCACTACCAGTTTGGAGTCGCACTTGATTTTGAGGTGCTTGGCCTTGAGGCCGGCGGCGAGTCTGAGACCGCTGAGGAAGGCCTCATACTCGGCTTCATTGTTGGATACCCTGAAGTTGAAGCGGATGGCATAGTAAGCTCTGAATCCTTCAGGGGATATGAGGACGACGCCGCCGCATGATTTCGCGGCCGACGAGCCGTCAGTGAACAGGGTCCATGTATCGTCCTGCTCCGGCCCGGGGTTGGCGACGGCCGTCTCCCTTGCTGTGCATTCGATGACGAAGTCGGCCAAGGCTTGCCCTTTGATGGATGACCTTGGCTTGATCTCAATTTGAAATTGGCTGAGGAAAATTGCCCATTTCACCATCCTAGAGGAGCTGGTGGGGCTCCTCATGAGTGCGCCGAGAGGCTGCTGGGTCAGTACGTGGACGGCGTGGGCCTGGAAGTAGTGCCCCAGCTTCTTCACCGTGTGGACGATGGCCAGCACCGTCTTCTCAACGGGGGAGTACCTGAGCTCGGCCTCCCTGAGTGTCTTGCTGATGTAGAAGATGGCCTTCTGCACCCCTTCGTCCTCACGGATGAGCACGGAGCTGATGGCCGACGTGCTCACCCCTAAGTATAAGAAGAGGGTTTCGCCGGCTCTGGGCTTGGAGAGCACGGGTGGGGACGACAAGTACTTTTTCAATTCGTCGAATGCCTCCTGGCACTCCGTCGTCCACTTGAAGCTGTTGGCTTTACGCATGATCTGGAAGAAGGGGAGTGCCCTCTCGGCTGACCTGGAGAGGAACCGGTTTAAGGCCGCCAGGCGCCCCGTCAATCGTTGTACCTCCTTGACGTTGCGGGGCGGCTCCATGTTGATGATAGCTTGCGTCTTCTCCGGGTTTATCTCGATGCCTCGCCGGCTGACCATGTAGCCAAGGAACTTGCCGCCCTGGACGCCGAAGGCGCACTTCTTGGGGTTAAGGCGGAGCCTGAACTCCTTCATTATTTCAAAGATTTCCCGGAGGTCGTCGGCGTGGGAGGTGGCCTGCCTGCTCTTGACGATCATGTCGTCGACGTACGCCTCCATCGTCCGGACAAGGACCGCTCTGAAGATCTTGGCCACCATCCTAGTATAGGTGGCGCCGGAGTTTTTGAGTCCGAAGGCCATGACGAGGTAGCAAAAGATTCCCTCTGGGGTCATGAATGCCGTCTTCTCAGCGTCATCTTCATGCATGGAGATTTGGTGGTACCCTCTGAAAGCATCGAGGAACGACATCAACTCGCACCCCGCCGTCTCGTCCACCAGCTGATCAATGTTGGGGAGAGGGAACGGGTCCATGAGGCACGCCTTGTTCAGGTCAGTGTAGTCAACACACATTCTGAACGTCGGCGGTTTCTGGGTGAGGACAACGTTGGCCGCCAACCATGTCGGGTACTTCACCTCTTTAATGTGTTTGATTGATAGGAGCATGACGACCTCCCCTTTGACGAAGTCCCTCCTGTCGGCGGATAAGTAGCGCCGCTTCTGCTTGACAAGCGCGGAGGCCGGATCGACGGTCAGCCGGTGAGTGATCACCTGGCGGCTGATGCCTGGCATATCGTCCGGGCCCCATGCGAAGACAACGGCGTATGACCGTAGGACGAGGAGGATGGCGTCTCGTTGGTCCTGGGGGAGTTGCTTTCCGACTCTGAGAACCCGCTCCGGCCGGGAGGTATCCAGAGGAATTTCCTCGACCTCCTCGGCCGGCTCCGCATGTGGTCTCTCCTCGTCCATGGCGACGGCGGCCGTGATGGTGTCTATCCTCTGGCCTTCCCTCTCGGCCGGCCTCGTCAGTTTGAGGTAGCATGCCCTGGCTATCCTCTGGTTTCCTCTGGCGTAGCCGATGCCATCGTTGGTGGGGAACTTCAGGCACAAGTGCTTCATGGAGATGATGGCCTCCAAGTCCTCCAGCGCTGGCCGGCCCAAGATCAGGTTGTGGGCGCACTGGAGGTTGACCACCATGAACTCCATGTCAATTTTGGCGTGGTGGGGGCCGTCACCGACCTCCACGGGGAGGACTATCGTGCCCTCGGCGTCGATAGAGTCCCCGGTGAAGCCGGATAACGGGGTCTTGATCGGCTTCAGCAGAGCTCTGTCCAGCTTCAGCTGCTTGAAGGTGTCCAGGTACATCACGTTGACGGAGCTCCCCGTATCGATGTAAGTACGGTGGATGATGGAGTCACCGATCTCACATCGGATGACGAGGGCGTCCCTGTGTGATTCCGTACCCGGAGGCAGATCCTTGTCGGTGAAGGTGATCGCCTCCGTTCGCTGCCTCTTCGGCTGGGGGGGGGGGGACGTGGGACACCTCCCCAATGTAAAGGGATTGGGCCCATTTCTTTCTCTGAGTGGCGGAGTCCCCCCTGTGTTCCCACCTACGATGAGGTGGATGTGATTCTTCTTCGGCGGGGGCTCTTCGAAGTCCTCGTCGTCGCTGAACCTACCAATCTCCCGCTTCTTCGCAGAGGGTTCGCCCCCATGTTTGCCGGTGTTTACCCAAGTGTTCTTGCGTGGGCCACCTTTGACAAACTGGGAGAGTTCCCCCTGGCGAATAAGGCGCTCGATGGCCTTCTTCAGTGTGATGCAATCGTCGGTGTTGTGCGACGAGTTCTTGTGGAACCGGCAGTATGTGCCGCCCTGCTGGATGGCAAGGATCTCCTCGGCCGGCCGAGGAGCCTGCTCGATGCGGCCGTGCTTCTCGGCATAATCGAGGATGGTGCCGACCGGGTGAGTGAGGGAGACCCCCGGCCGTTCCAACCTCGGCCGCCAGTGGCGATCTTTCTTACTCTGTCCACCAGAGCCGTGACGGCCCTGGGCACCCTGGCCGGCCGGGGACGGACCCGGGGCCGGCGAAGGATTTGTCTTCTTGGGGGGATGGCCCCCCTCTCTCTTGTGGTTGTGGAGCTCGTCGGCGTCGGCATACAAGCCTCCGCGCTGGAGCGCCTTGGCGTACGACCTCGGAGGGTCGGTGGTCAGGCTTCTAGCGTACGGGGAGCTGCGGAGGGCTCCCTGGTACAAGGCGAGGAGGGTGCGCTCATCGGCCCCCTCGACCTCCTCGGTCTCCCTCGTCCACCGATCGATGAATGACCGGAGGGACTCCTCATGATGCTGCTTGACGGAGAGGAGGTGGGTGAAATACTTCTTCGCGCGCTTCCTCCCGGCAAAGTGAGTGAGGAAGCGCTGGGCGAGATCCTGCCATGAGTCGATGCTCCCTTCGGGGAGCGCGTTGAACCACTCGTACGCCGGCCCCTCGAGAGTAGAGAGGAACCCACGGCAGAGGTATTCATCGGACGCGTTCACCATCAACATGTTGTTCTGGTAACGGCTGAAGTGTTCCTGGGGGTCTGATCGGCCATCGTAGGACTTGATGGCGTTCCCCCTGTACTTCTCCGGGATGGGGGCCGAGAGGACCCTGTTGGTGAAAGGGGTCCTGGTCCTGACCTGGATGATGGGGTCACCTCGCCCCTCGGCCAGCTCCCTCTCCAAGGCGCTAACCTTGTTCATGAGCGCGTTGAGGCCGGGGTCGTTGGAGGCGCCGGCCGCAGGGATGTTGGCCGACTGCTTGGCCTCCATCTGAGCCAGCCTCCTTTCCAGCTGAGCGATGACCTCGTCCCGGGGGTCCCTGTCGGCCGCGGCGGCTCCCGGCTGGTTCCTCAGGCGCTCGTTGTGAGCCGCGTTGATCTGGTGACGCACGTCATCCTCGTGCAACTTCCCTTTGCCCTTGTCCGAGCGGGGCTGGTCCGCTGTCCGGGACACAGACCCCAAGCTTTCCCTTGGCGAGCCAGGACGAGGATCACCAATCCGTCCCGCCATCCTCTCCGAAACTGGACGACAGCGCGTGTCACCTAGCCTATTGAAGGCAGAGGCTTTTCCACGCGCTGGGGTCTGCCCGGGCCGAAGAGGGGAAGCAGGGTGGGAGTGGGACGACGCCGTGTCCTGGGCCATTACCCCCTCATCGTTGCCTATCCGGACGGCCAACGGTTGGGGATGAGGAGGTGGAGTGACGTTTCCCCCGGTCCTTGGCAAGAGTGCGCTGAGGACGGTGGTGTTCTGAGTCAGGCTGGCAATGATGACCGACAGCGCGGCCTGGACCTGTGGATCCACGGACGGAGAGGCCGCGGCCATAGGCTGGGCCGGGGCGTGGTCCGTCTTCTCAGCTCGTTTCTTGTCCAGGCCGAGGCGGGCGTCGGGGACTCCGCCGTTGAGTTGGTTGCGGAGGTCCGTCGTGAGGTTGAAGGCCTCCTGGAAGAGGTCCCCTCCGCCGGCCTGGTCGGCCGTGGCGTCCTCATCGTGCTCCCTGGGCTCTTGGTCCTCAGGGATGACTTTGCTGACGAGGTTGCGGTTTGACTTAGTTCTCCCCATGATCAGTGGTTAGCCGTGCTTGGTAGCGACGAAGGGTGCTAACTTGATTGTTCTAGCTCTCAACGAGAGCACCAAATGATAGAGTATATCTAGAAAGAAGTGAGAGCTAGAGAGAGAAGTGCAATAATATGCTTCAATAGAATGATTTTGTCACCCCTATAACTACTCCCAAAGGGAGTATTTATAGAGAAAATACGGGCTGGGCTCCCAAGCCTTGGGCTTGGGAGGCCCATTTACAACTGGACCGCTACTGGGCCGAATACAAAGCCACTAATGGGCTGTACGAATGAGTAAGTATAAAATCCGGTTCTGTGAGGTCTTCGTGGCCGACGAGGGCGTGGCCGACGAGGGCAAGGCCGACGAGGGCACGGCCGACGAGGGCACCCGGGTTCCTTGGGCTCAGGACCATAATCTGAGTTGGCCCCTTCTTCGGCCGACGGGGGCGTCTTGGCCGACGAGGGCGCCACTCTGTGTCTTGTGCTTTCTGTTCTTCCGAGTATGTGGGTCCGGGGGCTCAGACCCATATACTCCATCAATATGGATCCAAAATCAGCTTGGAATGTTACAGTTTTTTTGAAATTTAGAAAAATGTACTACTCTACCTAAATCCTAATGATACTAACTGACCTCTTCTCAAGAAATGTCTTTGCATTAGACACATTCTTCCCCATGGCTGAGGCCTTCCAAGAGAAGTATGATCCGGAGGGATCTACCTATATAAGATAATAAAAACTGAATGTTATAAAAAACTGCGAACTTCTTAGACAGGAACTTAATTCCTCCAGCTTGGTTGAAGAATAAACCAAAACCAAAAACAAGAACCATATGATCATCACCATCATCAGCACCTTAATCCCAATTAGTTGTGTTCCATGGCATTACACTTGAGAGTAAATTAATTGTATGCAACTAAGTAACACTAGAAATTCATGCCAAACACATAGTAACAATTTTTTGCACTGGTTACCTTTCCTATCATATCCTTAGTAGTTAATATGAAGGAATAATGTCGTAGAAATTCTAAAAAATTATCATGGTTGGTTATTCCAAAATCCACATACACGGAAAATAACATATGACAGATTGACAGCTATGAGTTGAGATAATTACTATTTTCATGTTTCTTATATAATTGAAATTGTGAGACCAGATGCAAGTCATGGAACCAGACCATAAGTCAAGAAGATGGGACCTGATTGACAAGGATTAGACATGGATAAAATACCTGATAGAGCTGGGGACCTTTATCATCGTACCCAGCAACCAAGAGAGAAACGCCGAATGGCCTTACACCACTGCCAGGAAAGTGCATCAGATATTAAATGGAATCCAACACGAATAAACAAGTAAGCAGGCAGGAACCTAAAAATCTATGCATGCCTCAATCCTTGGAACATGGCAGGGGAGAGCAAGCGGCAGATCAACAATTTGATAATAAAAAATAGAAAAGTTATCGCACTAAACAACTACTACCTCTGTCCCGGTGGACTTTTCCAAGTGCAAAGTAGGTGAGAAATAGGAAAAGTAAAAACTGTGTGGTTGAAATTTGTGCAGAGGAGAGAGAAATGTGCAGAACCACAAATTAGTTGCTTTAATAGGAAAGTGGCGAAGTTTTTTGGACAACTAAAAAGGGAAAGTTGGCAAAGTCCAATGGGACGGAGGGAGTACTATCTAATAAAGTATTTGTAAAACAGATTCTTTTTTTAAGTCAACATTCAAAAAAAGATAAAGTATATCCTGTGATTAGTTGAGAGAATTATCTCTCGTGTGACTAAAAGAACGCTAGTTTCCTAACATATGACTTCAGTAGTTTCTGTTCCTAGTATATGAGGGTAAACATATGTATGGTTTGATGGCCATCTACCGTCCCTTTAATTTGCTTAAATGTAGGACGTTATTTACTCCTACTTATTCACATATATGATATGCACGACTGAATAATGGTTTGCACACATGAGTTTACAGTCATACGAAAGAAATAAATTATTAAGTCATGTTTTGGGAATTTATCTCTCTTTTGGACATATATTTGTATTTTTCCCTAATTAGTTACCCTGATTGAGTGAATTCCTGCATCACTGCTGCAGTTTCTCTCACAAGCTGTGTGACAGGGATTGGTTCCTGTGTAAAACAATTAACAGAGTGCATAAGTGGACTGAAATCAATTAAAGAACATCATCAAATGCTGCAAGCAGCTGGTGCCTAGAGTTTGAAATAAAAGGTTGTACCCAACTTCTTTTATACTTCGATTAAAAAATCTCCACATGCAATTTGTTGTTAAAAGGTTGTCGTGCACAAAAAAAAAATTGTCCATAGAGTGTTACACTGGGGGATTTATAAGAAACTACTCGTACTTTATACAGCCGGTGATATTGTTCAGCTTGCTTCCTGCTTTTCCGAACCAAAACTCGAGAATCAGGTCCCATGCCACTGTAGAAGAGAAATAGATATCATTCAAGGGAGGCTCCAACACAGATAAGTACGGGAGATAACGAATAGAGTGAGATACCTTCCTACTAAACCAAACAGCCGAAAGCAGATCTAAAAATGCCTAATTAGGCAATATTTGCATCACTTAGAATAAGAGAGATGTACCCCCACCCAATCCCCTGTCCCCGCCAAAAAGTGAAGACAAAACAACTAGTTTCTAAGGCAAATTTTCTAAAGCATGACTCATACCCCCACTCATGACTTATAACTTTGTTTTCCTTTTTTGGTTGTCTCAATAACTTTGTCACTTTCCTTTTTAACAATGAAGTTACGGTTCTTCTTAATTCTCTCTACTCTACACAAACCTCAATCACCCAATTTTTACTTTATTATTCTACATGCCAACCAACTTTTCAAAGTTACAAGGGATGGAGAGAGTACACAACTAGCAACAAATTGATCTCTAATAAGGCAAAAACACCACTTATTTGTTATCTCACATAGTAGACATGGAGTAGAAACTAGAAAGAACAGCGAATCATGTTTATGAGAAGAAGTTAGGAATATCAAGGATGGATGCAAAGCAGTTTAAATCCCAGTTATCATACCTGTATACAACTCCAATATTCGGAGTCAGGATCTGAATCTTTTGCACCTGTGATAAATAAATTTTAAGTATCAACATCCCCTTGTTATTTAAAGTACAGTGGTACATCCATATGTAGCACACATAACAAAATATGACAATGAAAGAAAAAGACGGCATATGTTGGAGGGGGTGGGTGCAGAGGTAAGTAAAGACTCATGCAGATGTGTATAACTAGAAACCTTGTTAAGGGATTGAGATAACATGACCAAAGAGCAATGTTTTGAAAGTACGAAAATATACTTACAGAAGTTTCATCAACCAAAATGGATGGTAGTTTCTTCTCAGTGGCAATATCGACACCATTAGAAGCTGCAATTGCCACAGCAGATGTAAGAATCGCTTCTTATGGATATGCTACTAACATTTTGTTGCACGCATGGATACACTAAATAAACTAGCAGGATATATATGACATTTCAGCACAATGTGACTGGGAAAGGTCCATTTGACAACTTGTTACAGCACATCTCAGACCCTTTCGTGCAAACGCATGGAGGATAGATTAATTTAAGTCGATGGGGATGAAACCAGAGGGCTTATTCAAGACCTTGATGCCTGTTTATGTATGTTGTAAGTTGTAAGAGTTGGTGTATTGTGTTGCAAAAGGGACCACAGTGATAATCTATATAGGGTGGCCATCATATGAAATTTATATGATATTTTTCTGTATTTTGTAGCGTTTCGAACATTTTATATCTCGTTGGAATATATATATATACACACACACATATATAGGGGAGTGTTCAAATAAAAAGTAGTGGTCCCGTGCAAAGTGAGAAGGGTTGCACTTTTCCCTCACCGCGTTGCACTATTGAATGATTCTGTTGCACTTTTCCGCGGTGGCAAAAAACTTCAGTTATTTACAAAATTGTCACTGCATTTTTTATCAAATCTAGTGCATTGTTGGCTCATTTTGAGCCATTAGATTTGTAAATTAATGCACAAGATTTATTCTCACTTTGCATGTGAAGACCTCCTCTTTGTATTTGAATCCTCCCCTATATATATGGGTGCTTAAAACATACTCCCTCTGTGCCTAATAACTTTGCCATGTTTGACCGGGTAAAAACTATGTGGTTGAGGTTTGTGCAGAGGAGAGAGAATGAACTGGAACCACAAACTCTTTACTTAAAAGGGAAAGTGGCAAAGTTAGTGGGACATCCAAAAAAGGAAAGTTGACAAAGTTATAAGGGACGGAGGGAGTATAATCTTGAGTAATTTACGGAGGTGCTGAGTATCTGTTCTAGTTACCAATTTGGAACCCCTGGTGTAAACTTACAGAAAATCTTCAAATGAATAACAGAATAAGTGATGTGCCTTGCTAACTTTTGAGAAATATAAATTACATGATTTAATGCCAAATGGTAACAAAACTCCCAAGTCCCAACTCAGAAGAGTATCATATTTCTTGAATTGAACATTTACAGAGCAAATAAAGATCTCTTGACTGCAGAACAAGTAATTTTTTTAGTGTCCAATGATAAATACTCACCACAATTAAATGAGAGGCAATCCTTACACCTAGGTGCATTGCTAACTATGAATGAAGATAATAGTAATAAATTACTCATTACCTTTTATCCCTAAAGATGTTTGGCCAGAAGCAACCGCAGTTAAGGCATGTTCAATCTGAACAAGTTTTCCAGAAGGGCTGTGTAGCAATAACTTATAATAAGAATTATACAAGAAGGGAAGAAAAGAATATAACCCATTTTTCAAGCATTCACCATATCAATATATTTTCTTTTTAGTTTTATGTCTGGTTTGTTGGTCTATACCTGAAAGTGGTAAGAGAGAATGAGTATTGACTGTCTCCCATGGAATATTTTGAAAAGTCACTATATGTTCTGCAAGCAAGTATACTCAAGTCAGAAATCAGGATTATATTATCACTTCTAACTACTCAGAGAGATACACTTTCATATAAATTCACTTTAGAAGAAAAGAGCAGCATACATATTGTGTCATGAATATTTTTATTGCCCAAAGTTTGAACCTTCTAGAATTTAGAGAAAAAATAAAAATAAAAAAGGTTTAGGCCATAGAGATCAGCAGAAGTTTTATCTGTAGTGTACCTTTGCTGTCCAAGGTGATAACGTCTTAGTTATTCCATAGATAAAATTCTGTGAATTGTTACAGTAATTCCAAATGTCCTTTCATTCTCTTAAGCAAATTTGAATTGTGCAGAAAGTCAGTAACTACGTTGTGGGGCTTTATATTCTACATAAGTACCACATAAATGTGAAACAGAAAGCGTGTAACAGTTTTTAAAAATGTATAAAATACAAAATCCCAGGAAGCAGGTAACTCTTTAATACACGAGGAGTAGAGCATAATCTATATAATATAGTAAAACACAAAAGTCCCAAGGAGGGAGGACAAGGGGTGTTGGGCGGGAAAAAACGTACATAGAAAATAAGGGAGTTGCACCGTTGCATGGCAGCAGTTTTCACGCCAAACAATTAATCACTTAATTAAGGATTATTGTATTTCAATTGTTCTAGAACTCTTTAATACTATGGATGCACCTACATATAAAATACCGAGTGACATAAAGGAAGAAAGAGAAAATGTTCAGTTGCAATGATGTCTTTCCATTTATCTAGGTCTTGGATGAATAAAAAGGCTGCTAGATTTAAATAATGTGTCTTGAGCTTCTCGAAGCATTTAATTGCATTAGCCTTTAGGATTCACCGAGATGTGTACATCTTTTTCCATAGCATTAGTAATTAATTTTTGTATTCTTTGTTATACGGAGTATATACTATGGTATTTTTCTCCCCTAGGTTGTGCTTCTCGAAGTACATGCAGACAGAGTGTAAACAATTTAAACTAATTAATTGTCTTCTCAAGGTTCAAGAATTAATGCAATTACATATGGAGTGTGGCTTGGAGGCCATTTTGAAGTATTCTTCTAGACTCCTAACATGTTCTCAAAGTGGAATTCTTCAATTAGAAACTCTTCCAATGTAGCTTTCGATGAATAAATACTGTGGATGCATTTCAATTAAAGGCTACATAATAAACCTTGACTTTTTGAATTTCATAAGAAGCATTATCTAAAAGCTAAAGATGACCAATATAACTCTATAAGCCTCACATATGTCGTTGGTTTTAAAGATGTTCCTGATGAGTGATGAATAATCATCTCTACATTCATTTAAGCTTTACATAATGAATGATTTCTTTAGTATTTTCTTTTATACATTCTGTTCAAAATTTAAACAGATTTAAGCCAATTGAGAGTATATTGAGGTTAGTTTCGTAATGAATCTTAAAAATGTGCTTTGGTCAATTGGACATTTAAAAAAAATTACTTCAAAAAATTGTAATTAAAAAAACTAATCTTAAATTAATAACTTGGTTTTCTTATATAAAAATTGTAGAACTTATATTACGGATTAAATCTGTAATAAGCCAAAATACGTAGTAGAGAAACTAGGAGAATTTTATACTTTTTTCATTATCATTTTGTGATCAAATTTGACTACTTCCATATATTTGCCTTCAACCATACTGCTGGTACTTAAGCTTCATATTACTGGGTACATAAATTGAAGGGTACATAAAGCTTAGATTATGTACACAAATTCCACATAAATTGGGTTCCTTAACAAAATACGAATCAAAGAAATATAGAAATATGCTCCATTGAATACGCTTTTCGTGTTTAATTTTGATCACCAGAAAGACGACATCCAGTTGTGGGTACAACAATTAAATAATAATGATATAAAGTTATAATGAGTCCAATTATTTTCTAACCAAAATAAAAACCTCTCAAAAAACAAATATACAAAAACCCCACTTTTAGGCTAACAGATTTTTCGAGTGATTTTTGACCGGCAGAGGGCAAGTTTTCTGAAAATAAAAACATTCGTAAATTTCTGCCATTTTGAGATCTTAGGTAAAGATTTGTTATCTTATATTTTTCTGATTGGTTCTGTAGTTCTGGTGACGCGTGTGGGAAAATAAAAATGTGTTTCTCGGTTTTCTTAGGTTTAGACATACAAAGATATTACTAATTTAAGTATTTAACTAAATATTTATAAAAAAACAATGAACTAAGTTATTATTGAGCTAATCAATAAAAGAGGACTGAAGAAATACCGGGACTATGAATGGTTGGATGTGAAAATTGAGGGAAGCGCCGATTGACTGAGCCGCTGAAGGTTGAGTGGCTGAGAGCAGGCGACTGAGCGACAGGAGTGATGTGAGTAGTTGACGACTGAAGAGGCGTGCTGCGGTGCTGCTGATGTGCTGCGTGTTGGCGTCTGACGGAGGATGAAACCGCGAAGAGAATCGGCGACTTGGCGGAGCGTTCAACCGTTTGTGGATGATAGATGTCGATGGAT